GCTGAGCAACTACTGCAGTTAATTGAGGAAGCTAAAACTAAGTTTATAAAGCTACAACAATCAGAATAAAAGCTAAAATTAGAAAAACAAAAGCTAAATCTTGCTAAACAAAAGCTACAAGTTAAATCCAACAGAGCGAAAAGTCAAAATGATCAGTAAATAAAGGCTAAAACTAGCGTTTCAACTAGTAAAACAGTAGCTAAAAGCTTGTATAGATAAAACTGACAAACTAATACTTAATTTAAAAAAACTAACGTTAACATAAAAGTAGCTAAGAAGCTAAAACCAACAAAACGTAAAACAATAGCAAAAAGTTAAAAACCAACAGAAGAGCAGATAAAACCCAAAATTATTAAAACTGTAGATGGGAGTCAATATTAGCAAAGCTAAAACTAACAAAACAGTAGTTCACAGCTAACATGTTCAGAAAAGTAGTAAAAAGTTAAAATCAGCAGAAGAGTACTTCAAAACTAAAACAAAAAACAGTTAAAAGCTACGAATAAATCAATGATGACGATTTCAAAGAATTTAAAGAGAAAAGATGTCAGATTATTGTGTGAAACGATACATTTAAACAATAAATCCTACTTTCATTATGGTTAAAATCTTCTGATTTMAATCCTGACAGCTCAATGCTGGTTTGTAGTTTAAGGTGTCGCTCACAGTTAAACCAGACTAAATGACACGTAAAAAAGGTTTATTTACGTTTCTTTTTATATATACCTTCGGTTTGTAAGCAGTTGTGAGCATGGACATCTCCACGTTTTGTCCTCKAACTGGTTTCGGCTGACGTGGCGCAGGAGGCCTGGAGGACTTCTGGTTGTTGCGGCACACGCAGATGAAGAAGAAGAGCAAAGCGATGGCTAAGGGGATCGCCACACTCGGGACCAGGATGTACAGGATCTCCATGTTACCACTCGACTTGTCCTTGTAGTCTACGAAGACGGAACCAAACCATCATCAGTACCATAAAACAACACAGAAGAAGAGGAAAAAAACAAACTGAAACCCAGTGGTGGGCACTAGTCCCCTAACTGCGGACCTAAATTTTTCATTTGTGCTTTAGGGCTTTTTTGAACTGCGTGCAGATTTGTGCTTTCTAAATGTAAAAATTCAGTAGCACTAATTTAATTATTTTATCAAGTATTGATCGTCATTATCTCTAATAGAGGAAGGAGAAAGCCGTCTCCAGTCAATACAATGCAGAACCATAGTAAGGAAACAACACCCGCTCCAATATCTGATTGCTCTCAGAGGCTATATACTGAGTGTTCCTCTGGGTCACGGTTTTCATTTAAGAGACAATCCCACAATTCTTTGCATTTACGTGGCAGGAAGCAATTAGAGCTATGTCACTGGGTGACACTCCCAGTTCAGTGTTCAGTTCAGTCATTTTCTCCACCGGCGAGCCTGCTGTGGCTCTGATCAGTTCTGCTCGGTTCGTCCGAATGTGTCAGAACTGCGCTCAGCTGCGCAGTTTCTACCTCCTTTCCGATAGTTCTGGGTAGAAGCGATCACAGCACGCTTACAATTTTGACAGTTTAAAATTGCATAAATACTCCATGCTATCTTACTGAAGCCCTACCACTAACATAAGAAAATGACCAAGAGGCAGCAGATCTAGGAATCCTCAACAACTGTTTAGGACCATGAGCCAAAAGTCGGTTTCAACAAATCACCTCCCTAAACTGCGTCGATATGTGCAACGCTGTAAAGGTAAACTAACAAGCCTCCAGTCAGCAGTATTACGCAAGAGTGGCTCGTGTTATCATTGAAATGTACTTTGGTGAAATCTGAGTCAATTTTGCACTTTAGAATTAGCTTCCGCTAAGTTTTATTGAACGCAAGTGCTTTAGAGCGTGCGCAACTAACTTTTGGATTAGCACCTCCCACCACTGCTGAAACCTAACGAACAGTCATTATTTTTGCTTTATAATCAGGTGTATTGTTACCACAGAGAGGAATGTCGCAGAGCTCCATGCGGACCCCTTCGTCCAGCGTGAAGCACCAGGGGGCCTCCTGCGTGTTCCCCGGGTTGCGGCAGTACGAGTGGCCCCCGTTCAGCTCCGTGTAGCGAACAGCCAGGTAGGTGTGGCTGTGGGGATACTGCGAGTTCCACGGCTGACACTGGTGACCCGACTTGGTCACGCTGACCGTTCCTCTGTAATCTGCGCCGCTGTTGTTGTAACATTTGTGATCTGGGGAAAACAAAGAAGAGAGGTGGACTCCCAGTTAATAGCCGCTCATCTCAGGCGGCACTGGATGGGGCTAATCAAAGCCGAAGCATTCGGGTCTTACTCTTGTTAATGGGGTCGGCCATGGGGATTCCGATCCTCAAACAGTTGGCGGCCGCCGGGCTGTCGGMGGCGGCCAGGTCCTCGCAGTTCGGCAGTTTCATTCTCTTCAGGATAAGCGGGTTGGAGCGAGCCATGATGTACTCCGTCTTGCACAGATCGTTCTCCAGGATCTCGCATTCGTCCCGACAAAGGTCCCGGGCCTTGTCGATCCCGGAGCTGCGGTCGCAGGTCGGGAAGGCGAAGTGGCAGAGGGACGGGATGGCGAACTGCGAGCAGCGATCGGACAAATGATTGGACGTCCCGATCATGGTGAAGGCAGCTGGGAAMAGGAAACAAAAAACATAGATCATGAATTTAGCATCTAAATATTGTTTAAAGTGGACATATCATGCTATCAAATCTGTCTTTTTCACATTTAAATCGTACAGTTGGGGTTCTATATAAAGTGGAACTGCAATGCTTTGGTCTGAATTCCTCCTTATTGTAACTCCACAAGCCCCTCGTTCACCAATTTTCTGAGGTGTGTCTCAGATCAACTCATTTTGAGGCTGTCTCTTTATAGTTAAAGTATATGGCTCTATATTTTCTATATAGTGGCATAGGRACATTTTGGGTTGAAAAATATAACCCAAACAGATTATAAAGACATCTACGCAACACCAGGAGAAGCTAATTTTAAAWTTTCTGCACTYGTAGMGACTCCAAATACATGACCATTTGCATTTGACGGCTAAAAAAGTGGATTTAAGAGAGTTGCCTTGTAGATTCTTTGCGGTGGAGTCTAACCCTCGCATACAATTCTTCCCTTTTCTCTGGTTTGTTCAACCATCCAGTCACACAAAGTTAACTGATGGTAAATGCTGCCATTTTAAAACGTATGACTCATAGCTGCATGATCATTGAAAACATATGCGTTTCAGTAGTTGTCATTAAAAGAGAGGCTGCTTTGTGCTGTACGGAGCAGACAAGCGAGTAAAAAGTACATAATTGAAGTTGGCTACAGTTCAAATCATCGTACCGTTCACATACTGCTTGAATAAAATGTTCACAAAGATCAAGAAAAATGACCTGAATTTCAGAGGTTTGTAGTAACTACTGTAAGTACATGTATTTATTTTTTAAATCTTTACTTTTAATTACTTTCATCACATTTAAGACCTAAAAATGATACTTTTACTTCTTTACTTTAAAATGTCCAAACTCATCATGAAAGGCGTTGTTTATGCGCTCTAAAAAATGACGTGTTGAATTTACTCAAACAACTCATGTCCACTGGTCCCACTAATAGAGTAAATATGAGGGAATACACGTATATTGCCTTTAATTTACTTAACTTAATTTAATGGAACCAGTTTGGTTCAGTAAATTCAACAGTTTGTTTATGCGCTCTAAAAAATGACGTGTTGAATTTACTCAAACAACTCATGTCCACTGGTCCCACTAATAGAGTAAATATGAGGGAATACTTATTTTCTTTAAAAGTAAATATGTATATGGTCTAATTTTGATTTAGTAAATTCAACAGTTTATTTCTTAGTGTGTAAAAGTACCTTTAGTTTTAATTTTTCGATTTTTGTGAACATTTTTATGATGTAAACTTAAGTAGTTTTCTCATCTGTGAAATTTATTTTTACCCAAGTCATTTTCTGTTAAAGTATTTTTACTTTTACGTAGTTTTTTTTTCCAAATACTTTATAGTCAGCTGAAATCAAATTGTTGAGGAAAGATATCTTTGGTATAACATTTATAACATGCAGGAAGCTTTTTATGGTTCAGCGTGTAAAAAAAAAATCACTTGTCTTTCATGTTTCAGGTTGACGTTTGGGTTCAGATGACAGATTATTCAGGGGTCAAGCAAAAAAAAAAAATGGATTAAATGAATAATGTGCATTAAACTGAGCTCTGAGGGGACAGCAAAACAAACAGTAACAAAAATGCMTACATTAATACGGGCTCGTCATGTTGCCATGTGTGCTCCACACGGACCAGAGAGCCAGCTGAACTCTCTCTGAACTCTGACGTTCTGCCAACTTTTCTCCTACGTAACGATTAAGATAAAAAAGCATAATCTGCAGGGTTTTTATTTCATTGATTTAGAGTAGGCGGAAAAGCCGCTTTCCTCGGGATGTTCCATCCGTGCAGYACAGTAAGTATAGGTTACTGAGACATAAACGGGCCCTGATGAAAGCCTGCTTTACAGACGCAAGCACCAAAAACTACGTAAATCAAATAAAACTATTAACTCAAGCTGTAGCACAAACGCTTTTGTCTCGTTTTTACCTGTGATCTGGGTTTCGATCTCTCCCTGCATCTGCAGCGAGGCGACGAAGATGCTGCGGTTCCCGATGAAGCGGGCGCAGGCGATGCCTCTGTACGGCTGGCAGAACCCGTCTTCATCGTTGTCGTCCCTGACGGGAGAAAACAAAAACCAACATTTAAAGCTTGATCTTATCTAAAACATTTTAAACACATCTTCAAGCGCAAAGAGAAGCAGATGAATTATATATATATATATATATATATATACTACTTGTAGTTGCACGCACACATAAACCACTAGCAGGCTATCTGCTCAGTGTGAGATCACTCAGTTAGGAG